TATATATATATATATATATATATATATGTATATATATATATATATAGCGAACTGACATCACCGCTCGACGAAAATAGATGGGGAGGGGGAGAAGAGGAATCGCAGAAGAGCAGAAGGAAAATGGGGAAGGCTACCGTATTCATTCAACCAGATTCGATTTTACACAATGTGTTGTTAAAATCATACGTAGATTTGCGCTATTCAATATCTTGCTACATTTTGTACTATTTGCACAAAATTTTTAGAAAGAATTTTGTAAAAGAAGTTATTACTAAATTACCAGCTTTATCTAAATCACATGTTTTAGTATCAAAATGATAAATTATTATAACACTCTACTTTGATTTTAAAAGTGAAGGTACGTTCTTATTGAAGATGATTAATCATGTAAAATCGGTTTAACAAAACCCGCTATCTAAGATGTCAAATTATTTAATTTATTCAGCCTGCTAACCAAAACGTCAGTAATTAACTCATTTGTTTCTTTAACTCCTCAAAGTAGGCAATCATATTTCTCATTCCAATTTCGCCTTAAGAAAAGCACATTCAGAAAGAGTGTTGAATGTCGGAAGAAAGAAGGACTTTAAATGAGGTATGAGGAATGTAATTCATTTGAAAAACTTTCTATTGTCGTCTGTAATTTCTTTCTTAAAAAAAATATAGAGTATCAGGAATGACTGTTACCTTCTCCGCTTCTACACTTTTCAACTTTCGTTTCTTTTTTTTCCTGAACTCAACTGTGGTATCTGAATCCCTAACAATTATAATAAATTAGTGTGAAGTAGTATTGTGGGATGTTTCTCATGAATATGCACGTTTTGTCGCATGAAAGGCAATTTATTGATGCACTTGTGATTGTTATGATAACGGGGAGAAGAGAAGTCGAGAAAGACTCTAAACTTCTCCACACAGTCGCTCAAAGTTATTTATTTTGTATGTATACAAAGTTGGAAGAAATGTTTCCTGTTACAGTTGCTGCTTTAGGTTTGGCTACCTGCATCTTGGCTATTGTTAGTGATTGCACCCTTGCTGACTTAGACGGAAAAGATGGATAAAAAGCCAGGAAGGAAGAAGAGGAGGAGGAGGAAAGAAAAGAATTTACATGCATTATTGCAAAATAAGAGAAAATGAAGCCTTAAAGGCACCGGACAAAATCAATGGTTACGAAAGGCCCATCATCAATAATTGACGAAGATATAGCATTAAAAATATAAATGGAATGGTGGTGGTTTTTTATGTTGTTGAGAGATAGATGGTTGTTTTCGAATAGGGAATAAAGATAAAATAGACCACCAAAGCTGTCGCCAAACATGAATCGATAAATTCGGCTCAGCTAAATTGTACTTTCAGGCCTTTGATATGTTTTCAGAATTTTTTTCCTTGAGCTTATTTTATAGCTGTTTAATAAGAGTCATTCTTTGGTTCTTTTTTCTTCATTTTCTAGTCAACTTCGAATGGTTTTCTCATTTTTTCCCCCTTATTCCTAATCTTGTAATTAACATCTTTATTATCACTATCACGTTCCTCTTTCTTATCATCATCTTCAATTAAATTGCTCCGTTTTTATCATTTTGTATTACAATTATTGTCACCTTATTAGAGCTAATCATCAATATTGTCGCTGCTCGAGTGAAATATTTCGAAACCGCATTAATACATATTAGTTATTTTGCACATTAGTTAATCTGTGGCCATTGATAGATAAGGTAGTGAGTTAACATCTTATGCGAGCCAGACTAGCTCGAACCATACTTGTGCATTACTACTGTTTTATTAGTCCAGAAATTTTGATTTCCTTCAATTTAGTGGCCATTTCCTGATTGGTTTTGATTGTGTAATCTAAATTTTGAATGCTCTCAGTATTTCCATTAGCTGATGCAAATGAGAATGGATTTAAGGATTTCCGAACATTCGGTAGTTTTTGTGATGGGCACTGTTTGAAAAGCCTTTTGTTGAATTTTATTTTTAGTGTTTAGGAAATTTAGTCAAAAACATTTGGTAGAAAAAATTTACTTCACAATCTATCCATCTGTCAGCAAGTGCCACTTGGCAACCTTACCAGGATGTCGTCATAGTAACGCCTAAGTGGTTTTGAAAACATGCTAAATTATATTTCTTGAATTTCAAGCAACCCGAGACGACATTGTCAATTTGTTATTAAATATTACTTAGTGGCCATTAATTAGTTATTCATTAGGAAGTATTTGTAAGCAACGAATGACAATTGTATTTAATTATATAATCGTCAGGCAAAGGACTAACTGAAATAAATACCTAAGTAAATATAACTCCTTGTTATTTAAATAAGGAAGTAAAAGATTACTGCAAGTTGACTGACGACTAAATTTCAGACAAGTAAGTGAACAGACAAGCAGTTAAACGTTTTTTAACAAATGTTTACATTTAAGTAATCTAAACCAAATGGAATCGAATGGAAATAAGTATTGAAGGTTTTGGCGAGCTTTTTCTAGCTCTCAATTTTTTTGAAAAAGCGTCTGTTTTCCTTTCAGATGGATATTTCTTTGATTTTAAAAAGATGCATCTCATAAATAGTATTTTATTTGATACCGAATAAAATCCAGTAGAAAATTTAAAAGAAACGCCAAACAATACTGAGTATCAGGAATGCAGAAATTTTGTTATTATTCGTACAAAGATTTTCTGACAGCCCATATAAAGTTGATACTGATATGATCCAACACCACAATTCACATGACGAAATTGTGTTGGTGATAATCGTGAAATCGTGAGGCTGCTTTAATCCGTTATTCATCTTTCAAATCAATCGATCCTCGCACATCCGGAAGAAGTACCTTCATCATATCACGATCGTGACACATCAACCTCCTTGGATATTAATTTATTCATCAAATTACAGAAAAAGAGAGTGTCTAGTTATTACTCCATTCTTTTTATTTTTCAAATAAGATAAAAGTGTTAGGAAAACTTAAATTATTTCCAGCTAATTTGCTAAGTGACTATTAAATAGAGCAAAACTTCCTAAAATAATTGCAAGTTTGGATTGATAATAAAATAATTAATTTTAAGACTTTAAAAGAAAATTGTCCATAAATAAAAGTGGAATGAAATGGATTCATCTCATTTTTATTTTCGGATAATTTCCTTTTAACTTCATACTTTTTCCTTACCATGTATTTATCAATTAGTCTTCGTTGGGTATCACATAATAATGTGGCTACTTTGATCTTTGAAAATTTCCTTAATATTTCTATATCAGAATAACTACGCCTCATTTTTCTTTACCAAGAGTTTCCATAATTGGGCTCTAAATGAATAATTGCAATGTATTGCACTCAAGGAATTGTCTTCGAGATTCCTTAAAGATGGAAACTAACGCGAAAGTTTTCAGTGAGACGTAATCAGAGTCCTTATTTCTAAATGGTATCAAATTTTGAAAATTTGGGATTTCCATTCTAGACTTTCTGACTTTCTTATCCTTTCCGTTTGGATTCCTTGTCTTTTCAATAATTCCCAACATTATAATCAATATTTCCTAATTGATATTGCTGTGAGACACTGAAGAGAAGTGGATTAGGTTACTTTAAATTATTGAAATTCAGCCATTTCAAGCTATTCGTACTTGTTCGACCTTATTTATGAATATTATCCATTTTCACGTGATTATCTTTTCTGATGTACGGTGTAAGTAATTCCTGATATTAGCTTTTATTTGTTGGAGATAATCCTAATCGTCATATATTTGACTATTGGTATGTCGCCTGCAATATTCTGACCTGAGACTTAGTATTTCATAATAGGGTGGCAAGCTTGGCCGCGGAAAATATAGCGAAAAGGATATGAGTCACGCTGATTAGTTTCTGTTATGGCAGGTGGTTGATGTGCATGTTCTTGTGATCAGTCTGATTGTAGGCGACGTATTGGCGTGAGCGACGTAAGTCAGCGTATAACAAATATGTTTGATTTTTAGAATAATTAATTTCCGCTTGCTACAATCTGTAGATTATCTTATTTTCGTTTCTATAAAGGTTTTAGGATGCTAGCTTTCCGGGCAAGTTTGTTTTCAGATGAGATAATATTTCAGTTCTTGGCAATGTGGATTGTTTAGAGATTCTTATGTAGATACTTTCGACAACAAAAGCATTTGTGATGCTAATATGTACATCTGTCATTCAAGTAACTTTTCATTCTCTTTTAATCATTTTGCTGTGGTCTTTACGCGAAGTTCCATTTTTTGTGTGATTCTTGCGTCGAACTTTGCGCATAAAGAAACCGTGCATAAATTCACAATGTTTTGTAGGTTAGGTTATTTGGGAAAATGGAAGCGGGCGGACAAGAAGGTGCTTTGCCCGGGGCAAGTCAAGGAGCTAGGCCATCGAATAAACGCTTGCAGCAAACTCAGGCGCAAGTGGATGAAGTTGTTGGAATCATGAAAGTAAATCCAACTTTTTAATTTGTAGAGGAAGATACATGAACTTTTTGCAAAGTTTCCTCGTTCTTAGATAAATGATTCTTCCACTGAGATAGTGCAGCAAGGATTACCAGTGTTGAGGAGTTGACCATCAGTTTTGTTTCCATTCACGATAAAAGCAACATTAATTTTATATGCTGCATTAAATGCCGCTTTGAAGAGTTTACTTTATTTATTCTTCGCATTAGTTTTTGCAGTTAACCAATATATTTGACTTACCGAAGGTGCAACAGATAAAAAGTAATGAAGGGAAATTTTGTGTAAGGTCGGGAAATTGAATTATGTACAGTTTTGTCAAAAAAACTTTGCAGGTAAATGTGGAGAAAGTATTGGAACGTGACCAAAAACTATCACAGTTAGACGATCGCGCAGATGCTCTTCAGGTTTGTCTGTTTGAAATCTGTACCTTCGTTAGAGACTGAAAGAAAAGGAAGTGAAGCTTCAACTTTTGCCTCTTATTATTCTTATTATTCATTGGTGTGGTTAATATTGCTTTTGGCATCTTACATTTTGTTTTTTGCGTACATTTCGATTTTTTCTCTCTTATAATAAAATGTGCTTAGCTAGGTCACAAAAATTTCATCGTTCACAGTGCAGAATACGGCAGTAAGAACAATACCACTGGGAGGGAGGGAGGGAGGGGGTAGGGGAGAGGGAAGGCACTCAGTATACTGTATTAATGTTTTTGTATTTCATCTCATCAGTGCTACCATTGTTCATTACAGGAGGGTGCATCACAGTTTGAGAAATCAGCTGCAACCTTAAAGCGTAAATACTGGTGGAAGAATATCAAAATGATCATTATTATGTGCGCTATCATCGTCATACTCATTATAATCATCATTGTTTGGGCAGGAAATAAATAGAAAGGATGAAAAGCTTAAAAACCCATTCCTGAGGATTTGTGCACGCACATACAGATACACTGCTGTTGTTCCCGAAAGTTCTTTTTCCTTTATTTTTTGCATCTCATTTTTTTCTACAAATTTTAATTTTCTGAAAATGGACCTTATTGATTCTTGCATTGGGTGTAGATAGCACTTATGTATTTTTCACTCGTAGGGGTTTTTGTGTTTCAAATTTCCTTCGAGAACATTCATATTTTCTTTTCATTCATATTCGAAAATGGACTCAAAAATGAAGAGAGCAAAAACCACTTCTGCTCAATTTTTTGTGCGGTATTTATAGGGAAACATCCATATTCAGTGGATTAGATTGGGTTTGAGACATCGAAGGTTATGTGTGGGAGCTACGTTAGAAATGAATTTAAAGTTACGATAAAATCGTTCGCTTTCATACGTTAGGTTGAAAAATACCAATTCTTTTTCTCTGCTTTAAATTCCATGGTCGATAAGTCCATATAAGTTAAAATAGGGTTGGAAAAAATAAGTTTTTTCAGTCTTTTTACATTTTTCATGTATAAAAAAATCAATTTTTAGCTTTGTTAGATGTTTATCTCTTCCTAGTTGTCTTCTTTTTCATTCACACACATACACACATCTTGGCTTTGTTTTCCATCTACATATAAATTATATTTCCCTTTTGGCTTGGTATGGTTTGTTTACTTTCTTCCCTTTTTTATCAAGACTTATTTCATTTGGATTCGCAATAGCAAAAAGTGTGTAAGATTCAAAAAAGTTATGTTTATTCATGAAAAAAATACTTCTAATTATTCATATTAGCGTTAGCTGAAACTATTGAAAAGTTGACCGGAATTTTTTCCTCGCAACCCAGTAATTATCCTCTATGTACGACAGCCTTTACACTATATATAAGTCTTTTTTTCCCGTTCTAGAAAACTCCATGATAAATTCATGGACGTATCGCTAAATTGTAATTGTATTGTAATTTTTGTCCTTACTTTAATTTATGTGTATTTCATTTTGCATATTCTGTTAACTCGATTATTACAAATATTATTACAGAATTATCCCCTTCGTTTCTTTTCCTTTTGCGAATAAAATGTAATTCTTGAATTATCATCTTTGTCAACGGTAACGGTTTTTAAGCGTAATTTTATATTAAATGAATTTTCGAAGGTATTGATGAAGATAATTAGCAAACGACAAATGTGGATACTTTATCCGGAGCTAGTGTATTCCGGTCTTTGCACTGGAACCGAAATTCATATTTAAAACATAGTGTCGAAGCAGAGGTGTTTACTTAACTTTCTTCCATTTTAACTTTGATGTTGCACTGGTGGGAACTTTTTTACTGTTGCATAAGGATAACTTTTGCGGCTGATTTAATGGATTTCTGCAAGTCTGAATTTTAAATTGTGCAATTGCCAAAATCAAATTGGTTTGTGCAGATGCGTACTGATGAACAAATAATTCATGAATTATTCAAGATTCATTTCATGGGAACTAGTAAGAAGTAGCGGTACTTACTGCCCATTCAGTGTCCCCAATTTTTCCCATCATTGACACCCATTGAGTTATTTGCCTTTGGTTTTCATGTTTAGGTACTGCAAAGCAGTTAACAGTACTAGTGGATTGTCCATTCCAATTTTCTCCCATATTCTAGGTGGTGCTACTATGAAGGCCAGTGCATCTTGACATTTAACAAAAGATTTGTAGACATTTCACAACCAGAATTGGCTCTGTCCTTTCTTGTCTATCATATCATATTACTGGTCTGTACAGATGGACATTCATGTTATGGTAAGCCAAAACAAGTCCATAAGATGAGACGAAGGAAGAGTAATCATCGAGATTTTTTTACAGATAAAAAATGAAGCCAGTGATTACACTGATAAACCATTGGGTTTGTAATCAAAGTAGAAGGACGTAGAAATTAAAATTGCTTTGTTTCTTTTCCGATATATCGATTTCATTGCACGCATATTACTATGACAGTAACATGGATTTCCTCCAGCTTTGATTAATTTTAAATCTACTTTAAATTTCTAGGCGTGAGTAAAGGTGCTGCCATATGAGTACACAAGTCATCATGCCAGTAGACAAAACGCCGTTGTTTCGTGCTCGAGTGAAAATGATGCGAACACAGGAAGCAGCGCGATTAAAACGAGCTCAGATGCAAAAGCAACAACGACAACAGCAACAAACAGAAATTCCTCTTAACAGCTTCGACGGCGAGTAATTCATCTAGGTTTCAGGTTCCCGAATTTTTCTGAGTACCGATTTGAAGTGTTCCAGTGTTTCAGTTGGTACTTTGCATTTATTATTTTCTAAATTATGCTAATAATTGAATTCGTCGAAAATCATCAACGGGCCAGTTTGAAATTTTTTGTGGCCTTATTTTTGTAAATTTA